TATTTTTTGACCTGATCCCAAATATTTTTTTTTACTCATCCCTAATATTTTTAGCCCCTCCCCAAAAAAAATCCCCATTATTTTCTAGCCCATTTCTAATATTTTCTTACTCATCACCAGTATTTTCTAACTCATTCTAAATATTTTTTAGCTCATCCCCAGTGTTTTTTTTCTTTTCTCATTCATAATATTTTCTACCTTATCCCAAATGATTCCAACTATTTTCTAGCTCATTCCTATCATTTTTAACTTATCCGTAATAATTTTTAGCTCATCCCTATTTATTTCTAGCTGATCCATACTATTTTTTTTTAGCTCATTCCTATTTTTGTTGTTGCAGATCCTCAGTATTTTCTAGATCATCACTAATATTTTTTTTTTAGCTCGTTCCCAATATTTTCTAGTTCATCCGAAATATTTTTAAAATCGTCCCCAGAATTTTCTACTTCATCTCTAATTTTTCTTTCTCATCCGTTTTATTTTCTAGCCCATCCCCAGTATTTTTTAGCTTATCTGTAATATTTTCTAGCTCATTCCCTTAATTTTTTCTAGCTCACCTCTAATAATTTTTAGCTCCTCAGCAATATTTCAAAGTCTTTTGTATCTCAAATACACAATTTTTAAATCTCATTTCCAATATTTTTAGATCCTTAAAATTTTCTGGCTCATCTCTATTATTTTTTGTTGCTCTTTCCCAATATTTACTAGCCCATCCGTAAATTTTTTTAGCCTTTCCCCAGTATTTTCTAAGTCACTCCCAATAATTTTTACATCATCAGCAATATTTCAAAGAATTTTGTATCTAATCCACAACTTTTAAAGAATTTTCATTTTTTAAAATCTATTGGTAATATTTTTAGGTAATATTTTCTAGCTCATCCCTAATATTTTGTGATCACATCCTCAATATTTTCAAGCTCATTCCCGGTGCTTTCTAGATATCTAGCTCTACCCTAATATTTTCTAGCCCATCCCGAATATTTTCTGGCTAATTCCCAGAATTTTCCAGCTCGACCCTTATATTTTTTTTTATCTCATCCCCAGTATTTCTTTGCTCATCCCCAATATTTTCTGGCTTATTTCCAGTATTTTCTAGCACATCCCTAATTTTTTTTAGCTCATTCCTAATATTTTCTAGCTCATCCGTAATATTTGTTAAAATCATCCCCTCTATTTTCTACTGGATCCCTTATATTATATTTTCTAGCTCATCCCCAGTATTTTAAAAAAAAATCTCATCCCCAGTATTTTCTAGCTTATATCTATAATATAATATTTTTTCCAGCTCATCCCCAGTATTTTCTAGCATATCTGTAATATTTTCTAGCTCACCCCCCAGAGTTTTCTAGCTCACCCCCAATAATTTTTAGAGCATCAGCAAATTTCAAAGACCTTTGAATCTCATCCACAAAGTTTCTTTTTTTTATCGCATTGGTAATATTTCTAGATCCTTAATATTTTCTCGCTCACCCCTAATGTTTTGTTATCACGTACTGAATTGTTTCAAGCTCATCCCCAGTACTTTCTAGCTCTACACAAATATTTTCTAGCTCGTCCCCAGCATTTTCTAACTTATCCTTAATATTTTTCAGTTCGTCCCCAGTAATTTATTGCTAATCCCTAATATTTTTTAGTTCATTCCCAATATTTTCTAGCTCATCCGTAATATTTTAAAACTCATTCCTAGCATTTTCTACTTCATCTCTAATATTTTCTAGCTCAACCCCAGTATTTTTTTAGCTCATCCCCAGTATTTTCTAGCTCGTCCCCAGTATTTTTTAAACTCATTCCTAAAATTTTCTAGCTCATCCCTAATGTTTCCTAGCTCATCCCAAATAATCCCTACTATTTTCTAGCTCATTCCATATTTTATAACTCATTTGTAATAATTTCTAGCTTATAAAATAAATTCAAGGGAGTAGAAAGTGGAGATGAAAAGAGATGAAAAGAGATGACAGACCATGGTTAGGGAGCAGAAAGAAAGGAAACAATTTTGGAGAAAATACAAATTCCCTCGGTTGTCAGGTTTGTTTTGTTTTAGTAGAGGTTTTACGGCGTTCGCAACTGCATAAGGTCATATGAGCGCCAAGGGGTAGGTGTCAACAGAGAAGTCTTTACAGGGAATCAGACTTACTCTGCTCACCTCTCTTGCTTCAACAGCACAAAGTCTGCTTCGATTATCCAGGCACCCAGGAAATAGCAGTCCACAAGAGAGTGACAAACATATAAAAGAAGTTGAGGAAAATGACGATAGTAAGGATGAGGAAAGAAAGAGCAGCAGTTCCCTGTTTTAGTTCAGGCACAGTTATGAGCGTGACATTGATGAATCAGCCCATTTACAATTCTACTGTGCATTATGTGCTTTAGAACGAGCAATATCCCTCCTTTGGGAAAGGCCTAAAGACACTTCAGTCAGTGGCACCGCCCCGGGGGTGTTGTCAGGTTTCAGACAAGGGACCTACGGAATGACAACTTTTAGTTTGGCACAAGCAACAAGTTTCCACAAATTCCAAATCGAATATACATATACATGTATTTTGATACATATACATGTATTTTGATACATATACATGTATTTTGATACATATACATGTATTTTGATACATATTAGTTTTTCTTTTTCTTTCAGCGGGGGGAAGGGGGGGGGGGGGGGGGACAAAATATATCATTTTGGCACAATTAGGTGAAATCCTCAAACAAACACAATATCCTGTTTTGTAGGTCAGAACCAGGCAGAGGTAGATGAAAACAGCAGACGACCTGCAGTGTTTGGTCTAAATATGAACTTTGTGAGTACTGCACTGTGCCAAAACAGTTAAGATATAGATTTAACCCCCCCCCCCCCCCAAAAAAAAAAGCAAGAAAGAAACCAAAGTAGCTGACACCTAAACTTTGGTCAGAAGGAAGCTCTTCTCAGCAAAGTTTTCCACAGGATGAACTTGGTGTACTAGGATATGAGTTGATGTGTTCCACGCTATTTACCGATCGGAAGATTGCGCTGCGCATTTTAACGATCGTATAATTGTGCGGCAACCTGAAGATTAAGGAACATTCACATTTTATATTTTCAATTAGTGTAGGCCTAAAAATATGAACATTAAAATCAAAATTAAAATTAATGTAGGAAACTGAAGAGCTCACTAGAATGGTACAATGCCAGGTAGCAAAAGTGCAAAAATATGAAAATTAAAATCAAAACTAAAATAAAAATTAACACATGAAACTGAAGAGCTCACAAGAATGATACAATTATACGGTCGTGAAAATGCGCAGGCAATCTTAAGATTGCCGGGCCATTATACGATTGTTAAAACGTGCCGATCGGTAAATAGCGCGGAACAGAAGCACTTCTCTACAAAGTTTTCCACGGGGTTCACTTGGCGTACTACTAGGATGAGTTGACCCACACCAAAAGTCTCATTTTTTCTCTTTTTGTACATGTATAAGCAATAAGAAACAATCCACCAAAACATTTCCAAACTCATGTACCACAGAGGTACATTTCAAAGTTTGACAATAAATTTTCTTTATTTTTGATTTAGAATGACAAGCCGTGAAAACAATGAATTAAAATGATTATTACACCTTTAAAATAGTTACCCTCAGTTCAACACAAAATGGTCCATAATACGTCACACCTTAGCTTTAACATAAACACAGTTTTGTTGTTGATTTTTTTTAGTAAGAGTTTTACGGCACTTGCAACACAATAAGGTCATATAAAGGTGCCCACAATTAAGGGCGTTACAAGAGAGTAACAAACACAAAAAAGGAAGAAGGAAGATAAGGACGATAGATGTTTGATAGGAAAGAAGGAGCAAACCACACCAGAGCACCCGCCAACCACCCACATAAACACAGTCCATACGTCACACCTCAACTCTAACACAACATAACACAGTCCATACGTCACACCTCAACTCTAACACAACATAACACAGTCCATACGTCACACCTCAACTCAAACACAACATAACACAGTCCATACGTCACACCTCAACTCAAACATAACATAACACAGTCCATATGTCACACCTCAACTCTAACATAACATAACACAGTCCATATGTCACACTTAAGATTTCACATAACACAATTCATATGTTACACCTTAGCTTTAAAATAATACAATTCTTACATTACATACGTGTTTATTTACAACTGACATAGCTCATACGTAATATGTGAGCACTTATACTTATACATAGCACCGCTCATATGTAATATGTGTGTATCTATACATAACACCGCTCATATGTAATATGTGTGTGTATCTATACATAACACGGCTCATATGTAATATGTGTGTATCTATACAGAACACCGCTCATATGTAATA